AAAAGGCGCACTTTGTTAGCGTCACCTCGCATCAAACCGAAAATCCGTTGATGATTTGTGTGAGTGAAGAACACTTTAAAAAAAAAGCGGCAAATTACTTTGTATAGGCGCTGTTCAGTCGATATGCAAACATACCGAATATGGAAAAAAGGGTTGCATCAAGTTGCCTGTTTAAACCTGTTGACTTTCATTCCAAATGTGAACAAATTATAAGGGAATCCGGTTTTACTAACCGTCATCATTGCAACAATATTATAAATTTAACGGAAATTTAGCATAAGCATTCTATTTGGAATACAACATTTATACCAATTTATACACACATCAAATTAGCATCGGCCACATCAAAATCACGTTGAAAATCATCTGCAATGTGCATTTCATTTTTAATATATAATGTAATTCACCCTTCTGTTTATGCTATTTAATGTGGATAAAATCTGCAAAGTGAGTTCATGCCCAAAGATCAGTGCGCAACCGAAATAATTTACCAGCCGTTATAGAATTCGAATTAAAACGACGGTTGCATTTCAGTTTGGAACATCTCATTCTCTCACAATAAGAGTCGCTTCAAATCATATATTTGAGCAATTTGATTGAACTGGTGCGTCTAAGCAGCCTGTGTTTTTTTTTATACTAGATGTAATCTATGTGTGTGTTTTTTTTGCTCTGTATGAAATGTGCGTGTGAAATCCTGTTCCGAGCAAAATCGCGGGATAAATTTTTATATCCGTAAAAACATTCATACATATATGTATATGCACAGACCCTTTTTTCAGCAAGTCCTGTGTTCTAATGGTTGACTTGACTTGAATAAAAGCGAAAATATTTGGTTGTACTGTGTGTACATGCGGTGTTTAAAGCCATTTCAACATGCGCATACGCACTTTAGCCTATAACGAATGACACTTTATTTTCCGTTGAGCCGATTTTTCGGGCTGGCAAAATTGAAAATATGAGAGCCTCATTGCGATGTCCCCTATGAAATTGAAATGTTGTGCACCTTGAAAATTTCAGTCCTTCTCCCTCTGTCTCTCTCGAAATTTGCGCAGCATCATTAAAACCATGAGAACAAAGATTAAATTATGTTGCGATGCATGGACGACTGCGTAACAAGAGAAAACAAAAATATGTTCGGAACCAGTATTTGTTGGCTCTCTCACATGTAACACCGAATTATTTCGTTCATTAGGGAGAGAATGAATAAGAGATTTCTCTACTTCCATCCCATCGCAAATGCATGGGAAACACCATCTAATATGTGCTCAATGTTAAGGGCCACATTTGCTGCCTTTAATAATAATTATATTTTTAGAATGCTGTGTGTGAATTCATGTGAACACGGTGTGTGTTTGGGTGCTTTCGTTATTTCATCTGCCGCGACGCAGAGACATGCACACACTGTGTGCTATGTGCAATTGTACAAGAATCACGATTTCACATCGATTGAGAGCAACGACGAAAATGGAAATTGTTTTGTTATTGAATTGGATTCGTTTAAGTTGCACGTAAAAACATGGAAACCAATTGTCACACTGAAGAACCCCAAACACATTTTGACGCTCATTTAAATGGAATAATTCTAAAAATAAAAAAAAAATCTAAATGAAACCTGAAAGCATTTATTCCTGTATGCCACACACAATTAGGTGGAAAACTTGCTAACTGCGACATGTAGATGCCGGTTATAAGCGGCGGAATTCAGTGTTCACAATTTTAAATGAATGTAAAATACATGAGCATGGTAATGGAAGTGAATTTCCTTTATTTTCAATGCTAAAATCTCATGTGAATTATGCTCATGAAAAATTTCAATTGAACGCAGGTGTGCAACGTCGTTTCAAAGCCTTTAGACTTTATTCAAAGTCAAGTCAATGTGAATTTTACCAAGTTCAAAGTACTTTTTAACCAAATGACTAAGTGGAAATATTCGCCGTTTCTATTCAGTGCTTATTCTCTATTTCGTTTCAACTAAACAACTTTTTTTAGAAGAGTCAATCGAAACTCAAGGACATAAACTAAAAAAGAACGTCATTTCAGAATAAAAAACACCACTTTACTTCATTTTGATTATGATTGAAGAAAAAACGTTGCTTTTGTTTAAAAAAGATGTATTTTCAAAAAAAGGAATTTGATTCTCAATGCATCTCAGGTGATTTATAAAGAATTGAGATTTATGTGACTTAAAACGATTGTCGATTGGCTTTATTGACCACTTGTATCGATGCGCTCACGATTCGAAGTGGATCCAATTTTTTTTTTGTTTTATTGAAAAAAAAAATTCTTTTTAAAAGAAGAACTAATCCAATAAATGCTTATCTAAACACGAACATGAATACGGTCAATTCACGAGAATCAATAGATTTGATGTAACAAAATCACACTGATTCTTTTCGTTGATAGAATCAATTTCGTTCACAAATGAATTGTTTGAAGAAGAAGAAAGAAATGAGAGAGAAAAAAGGAAAGGAAAATTCATGAATAAAAATTTAATAACGTAACGTAATATTGTGAATGAAATTCTGTCAATATATCAAATAACCATGGAAATAAGGATTGATATAATTCATGAGATCGAATTTGCAGCCACACACACGCATCAACCAAAAACTAAAATCAAACGCGATCCAAAGATGATTGTTTCACACAAAAAAATGCCCCGAGAATAAAGAGACCAAACATTTTTCTATGTATGCTAGAAAACATGTTGAAATTGGAATTCACAGATACGACAGAAATAATCCATACACTTGTTATGCTCTAAACAATGCATTGTCTTGAGATTTCATTTTGTCGAATTTTTTTTTTGTTATTTATATGCTTCAGGTTTGATCTATGTGTATGCATGTGAATCCATTTTTTTTGTTCCTGAATGCATTAAATAAAAACAAGATAAAGAAATAGTTCAGTTTTGTGAATTTTTATCCACAGTTTCTCTTTGTCGTTGTGTTTGCCAAAGTTGAAATTCGAGAGCAACACCAAAGAACGGAGAGAAAAGGAGGAACGAACGAACGAACGCACAAAAGGATTTAAAAGAAACTTATTATTATTATTGGATGCTTTATTTACCTGCTAAAGGACAATCCACAAAACATTATTACTGAATCCATTCATTCCGATGCAAAAGTGAATGGCAACAACAAGAACCAAATTTAAATCAATGTGAAACAAAAAAAATACACAACATAAGAGATATGAGAGTGAGAGAGAGAGAGTGAGAGAGAGAGAGGAGAAACCAAATCAATTTGAGATATATCTACCAAGTTGGGAACAAAAATTAAATTTTTCTCATCGCTTCTGATGTATCGACGAATAAATCCAAAAGGAATTTCCTTTGATTTCGCACTGTTTTTTTATTTTATTTTTTTTCCTCTTTCTATCCCGTTCGTGGTTGTCGTATTTACTTTTTTTCTGGACTGAAAACACATACTCAGAATTTTGATTCTATTCTCTCATGCACTTGTTTTGTGATAACAATGAAATGTTCTCAATTTTGCGAAAAATGACATAGACGAAAAAAAAACACTGTATTCCTTCTGAAAAATCACTTTTTTTCTGCTCAGCTTTTGTCTGTTGATTTCTCATTTTATTTTCGATCAGTTTTTGTTGTTGTTGATTTCAAACCTTTTTTCGGTGCGAACCAATCAGGCCACTTTCTCACGGAGTTCGATTTAATTTCGTTATCGACACTTTTTTTTATTACTATTTATACAAGCAACAAAGTAACATTCATTTTCCAATTTCTTTCGTGTCACTTTCTCATTTCTGTGGCATTTTCAGCGAAAATAATTGAAATAGACAGGCAACGATATGAATGCGATATCGTTCGACGCTCAACAAGGAAATTCGAAAATAGTTTCGTCTCTATTTTGGCGCTCATGTGAAAAATCACATTGAAAAGAGACGATGTGAATAAAAAATTGTTTTATGTTTCGGCATTTACCTTGACTAACATGCTGTGTGTGCATATCGATTAAACGTACACACATACCGAACTCATCAAATCGATAAAGAAAACAAATGATAAATTGGCATTTTTTCGAGGGGAAAACTTAGCATTTTACAGCATTTACAAGTTTTCTGCACCATTCCCACGGTGCGTTACCGAAAAATATTCAAAAAATTTGTTGTTTCCGAAAAATAACTTGAATAAAATTTTATATTGCGTCAAGGGAACGAATGAACAAACAAAAGATATCGTTCACATCGGGTGTAACGGTAAACAAGAGACTCTTCATTATTGCTATTATTATAAACATCTGCAAGTTTCCGAAGTTTTTCTTCTTCTGTATTATGCCCGAGTTGTAATTGTCGCATTAAATAACGGTGACGGCGCTGGGCTATAAATAAATGCAAGAAAATCAAAACCGAATAATCGGTCGACCCCCCTCTTTCAACTGCAAACACCACGTATAAATCTTGTTAGTTTTCTATTTACTTCACATGATTAACAAATGCACAGACATCAGCACCGAAATGCAACGACACAATATTTCATTTTGTGGATAATGATTCTCATGACGGCAACAACGATCGTGATCATACAATTTGGCAATGAAAATCCATTTTGAAAACGATAACAACTATGTATGCTCGCTTTTTTCGATTCGTGTGAAACTGATTCGAATTCGAAACACATACACATTTTAACTTTTACTTTAATTAATTGTGATCGATGTTCAGCTTTGAACTATTCACACATCACGTACAATCATTTACACTGTCAACATCAAATGGGTCAGAATGATTATTATGCAGTGACACTTTAGCGGAGTTATCAACTTTTCGAGTTTCATTCGCACCTGTTCAGTGTCGATTATTGGCATAGAAGAAGGCATTTTGTTTGACAAAATCATTTAGAAACGACAACAAGTCATTTGCATTTGAAATGTCAAGTTCAATTGAATTCAATGCCAATGAATCACTATATATTCAGTCGCTGTTACATTCCTGCACTCATTTTGAGTGGGAGTGTTAATGCAAAACCGTTGTGAGGAACTTTGAATTGTTTTCGATTTGTGTGGAAATAAGAACAATGAATTTCAAGTTTTGCAAATGGCAATTATTCGGCATTGTTGTCTTTCTCGTGTTAGAAAGTATTTCGGGTAAATTGTCTTAGACGAGGGAATAATAAAATATTATATTTGCTGCAATTTCGAATATTTCGATTTAATTTTTCGTCGATTTCAATGTGTTTTTTCTTCAATTTTTTCCAGTTTTTGGTGATGAATTGAATGACTTTCAACAAATCGATGGTCCGGTCCAAAGTGATTCGAGTCGTGCATTGCCAACAATTTCAACCAATCCATCTGGAGGTTTGCCGATTCCGTCGCCCGGCGAAAAGCCAACATTATACTTGGGTACATTTCAAATTCTTGCAATGCCATTTTCACCGGACAATATACCGCCGAATTTCGGCAGCATTCCGAGTATAGCGCAGCCATCAAAAAAGGATTAAGTTATCGTAAAATATAAATGTGTGATCAAAATGTATTTTGTGTGTCAAAAAACGAACGGGCAATAAATACTTCCTTTCGCAATTGTTCGATTTTGCATTTTGACTCGGTGGCATTAACTGAAACTTTACAAAACAGAATGTATGTGTAAATAAATTATAAGTTTTTTGTATACATATTGATGTTTGACAGAGTAAAATTTATTTGATTTGAGCAAATAAATGTGCTCGAGAGTTAGTCAATAATCCGATCTTCCTGTGGACCCATTGTTCTGTTTAAAAGAAACTGGCGATTATTCTTAGAGTAAATGCAGGAATTTATTCGTCACCCCATGAAAAGAAATGCTCAAAAGTATAATAAAGACGAACAAACCGAAAGACAAAGAAAAAAATGTCTGAAATTCACGAGTGCACTATGAACGATTGCTGTAGCAGCTGCAGCAGCATTAACGATTCATTGTGTGATCACTTTTTGATTTTAACAGAATGGTTTTTATTAACTCAGAGAAATAATTTCATGGCTTTTGATCGCGATCGATTGGTTAAAAAGAAAAGAAAGAAATCCATCCGATGAATTTTTACGATCGTCGAGGTCATTTTAAAATCCATCGACGCACACCAATTTGTTGGTTTTCATTATCTGTGCGCGGAAAGGAAGAAGAAAAAAAAACTTTTTTTTTATATTTTCAAAAGTAATTTCGTCTCATTATAATTTATACATTTTTATTTTCACTTGCGTTCTTCGCCTCTTATTCGCCCATTGCACCCGGGTAACCAGCCAAAGATAAACTCGAACGCATGAATTATGACCGAATATGATGGTGTGTAGTGATGGCTATTTGAAAATTGTATGCACTGAGTGCATTCCAAAGTCGAAATGAGAAGAAAGTGATTTTGCAAATTTATGTTGTGAATTCTGAAAATTGTGAACTGTAAACAAATTTATTGGGCGCATTTTTGGTCGAGCGCACCAGCTCATTTTCGATGCATTCGTATTATTTTCGCGTTGATTTCTTCGGCTTTTTTGGCACCTTTGGATGCTGTGTTATGGTTTGGCCATCAGATCAACAAATAAACAAAATGCAGATAATGTAGTTTTTTTTTCAGCTCGGTCTTTGTATTCGATGCTCTTTCTTCTCCAGGCTCAAGTTGGTTGCAATGTTTTCATTTTTGCGAGAGTGCGTAAATCTCGGTCGTGTGTGTATGTGTGAAATGTGATACGATGTCATTTTTACGAAATACGCTCATTAAGTGTGACGTATGTGTTTGCCAGTATCGAAACTGCACTACATTGTAAGCGCACTAAAAAGATGCTTATACGAACACTTTTTTTATTCATTTCTTTTGATTCTCTTCGTTGTGTTCAATATTCATTTGCACTTCATTGTGCGTTGGTTTTTTTTTCTCGCCTCGCAATGATTTTGGTTGCTGTTATTTGGTTAAAGAAGAACAGCGTGTAAAAATTGCGCACTTCTTTTCGGAATACCTATATACAAATTAGTGAGTTGAGATGAGTTTTTGAAAGAGAGAAAATTACGGGAAAAAAACAGAACGTAAATGGTTTGAATTTCAGAGTGCAGAAAACAACATCGAAATGACATCAAATAAAGAAAAACACCACTCATTTCTTCGGCTCGATGAAATTCGTCGTTTTTACCAACATCTGAAAAAAACTCAGGCTCACTTGACACTGATGATACTTGATACAGAGCGAGATGGAAAAGTTACCAGAAATGCATTCACAGAGAAAGAGCATTGACAAAAAGTCGTACGCCCATAAAACCGAAATGCAAACGGAGAAATTACGAATTCAATCCACTTGTCGTTTTCATGAATTTATCACGCGACAAAACCAAATAAAAAAATATGTTTCAGCTTGCCTTTTTTCAACCAAACGATTTCTCTTTTTATACAGTTCATCTTCGTTGTACTATCAGGAAAGCGTGTATGTTTGTTGGTGTGCGTGAGTTGGAGTAATTCGATATGCTCATCCGTTTGTCTACCATTCAACTACTGGTCGATATTTAGCATGATACAGTTTTCTTTCATCTGCCCTTTTAGCAAAGGTTTTTTTTTGAAGATTGAGGTCAACATACGTTTCTTTTAATAACGAAGTGAACGGTACCGAACTGGTGTTCTTCGGTAAATAAATAGGTATTTCAGATTCTGATTTCCTATTGAATCACAAACATTTTTCTAATTCTTTTCATTTGATATTGATTTCATAAGCTCAAACACCACCAAATGATATATGATCTCAATAATCTAATGTCATTTCTGTCCATCTATCGAATATTACCTAATGCATTTACTTTTCGATGTTTTTCAAAAAAAATGCATCACGAAGAAAAAACGCTCTGCCAATGCTTGAATAAAAAAAGTGAAAAGTGCATATACACGATTCGATCCGACCCGAAAAGACATTTACCATCTCATATCGTATATGTTTCGAATGAGAGCGTAATCAATCGATCCGAATGGGCACCATATTTATTTTACACGCTCGATTATTACTTGTTTTGCATTTCAGATTAAATACAATTTGTATTGAAAATGATCGTGAAATTGAAACATTTTTATAAACGTGAACCAAGTTAAGGAAGTCACCATTGAAGCAATAAATAAATCCAGTTGAATAAATTGAATAAAAATATTGCCAAGATCTTTTGGTTTCTGCTGCTTTCTATCATTCTTGCTTAACTCTTTGCTTTTTTTTGCGAATTTTATTGAAAAAATTCAAAAATCCAGCGAGAAAAAAATGACATTCGCGCTCATTGTTGCTAACACGGCAGCCCATAAGAAACTTTCAAATCATGGCATTTTTTTTCTTCTTCGCCTTTTATATGACTTATGATTATTTTGGTTCTTTTCTTTTATTTTTTTGCACGCCGATTAAAATCGACTTTACATAATCAACGTGTGGTTTATATGATCGTTGTCATATCGCCATGCAAATTGTAGAACAATAATAAACTACGGGCCCGTATAATCAGAAGGTGTTTTTCATATCGCACCAAGTGTCGACAGAAGTGTGCATGCGAGAATTGCCACAAAACACCGTAACCAAAAAAAAAATATTTAAAAATATGAGTTGAAATGATTATTTATGATTGGATTTCGTATTGAATTGTTTGTTGATCGATTTCCCGGGTATTTTTCATCATTTAGTTGTTTGTAGCGGGCTGCAAGGGCTGAGACAATGCGATGCAATGCATTCATATGATTATATTATACAATGACCTCGTTAAAAGAAATCTCGTTGGAGGTTGCTTGCGACGATTTATGCACACCAAAGTCACAGATCAAAGTGTGAAAATATTTATAATTATCTGAAAATTTATATTTCTTTTTATTTGTCAGTTTTGATTCCGTTGGTTTCACACCTTGAGCTAAAAATAAAAATAAAGAAAAAAGGGCAAAGTGAATTCCAACGATGTTGATTCGATTTACGAAAAAAAAGAAGAAAATATGAATCGATCGAGGCATATATTTTTCAATTTATTTTGTTTTTACAAATGATTGAAATGCAACAATATTGGGTTTGTATAAATTCGTGACTATGTTGAACCGTGACTCAGTCACAACTTCGGAAGCGCGCAAAAAAAATATGAAAAACAAAAGTGAAATTATAAACTGGAGCGCCGTTGCACGATCAGCTGCCAGCCGCATATCTCACACTCAGTTCTTTTTCTACACCAAGCCATCATCATCGTTTCTAACCCTCATTTTCGATTGCAATCGCTCTTTGCGTGTCTCTTGAACCATTTCTTCGTTTGTACATGACTTAATGTTTTCGAATGAAAATTAATACGTGTTCTGCAAGAAAGGTGTGTCTGCTCTGCACACACACCATTTTCAAACCAGATAGATGCTGTTAAATTAAGTTTTAGATGTCAATGTTCCGGTTGAGAGTATTGCACCAGCTGGCGTAAATAGACCAACCCATTGACATGTTCAAAACTTCGTCTGACGCGTGCAAATGAAAAACTTTTTTTATTGAAAATCAACAAAAATATTCTAAAATCGTAGAACGTTCACTGTCTCCATATATGCAAACACCAAATTAGACATTCGAACAATGATTGATATATTGCCGGTTGGTTCATTTCATAACGCAATGTGCGCTCAACATTTCGGTAAATAAGGAAGTGTTATAAGTGCAGTGCGGACACTAAAATCTCAACCCCATTAGGAAGTACACCATTTTTGAACATGCTTTCATTATTATTTTCGAAAAGAATCAGACGCCGCCAGAGATAACCATCTGCATAAGAATGTAAGATGTTGTCATGATTGAAATTTTGTTTTAAACAATTCGAAGAACTGGTTCATCGACGTTAAACAACAGCCACCCAAATTGAAGCGCGAAATATACCAATTCACTTCCTCACATGTGCGAGGAAACAAACGTCTATTAAAAGTTATCAAACTCTATTTATTCCCCTTTTTTCACTTAACGAGATTGAACGACGGTTTGAAAGAAAATTGAAAGCACAAACGGATAATTAAAGAGAAATTTAAATTATTCATTTTAAATGAACATGAATCATACTTAATTACGCTCTCTCCCTTGGAGATATCTTAATTGAAATAATTATATATGCATTTTCGGCAAGAGTGTCGCATTCTTACAATTGAGCGAGTCTAGAACACTATTTTCAATATAAAAACACATTTATGAGAACGATTTGTATAAACGTTCGTAAAACTGAAATGATAATAATATCACAGCAATGAAACGACAACAACAATAACACATATTTTTACTGTCAAAATTTTGATGTCAAATGGTGTCGACATTGGTGACGGTATTTTGAAACAGACTGTGTAATCCATATTCATCGTATATGATCCTATGTAAAGTTCTATACTTGATCTAGTTCACATTGACGGTTCAAATCGTTTATGTCCACTAGCGTGGACATGGACTGTGTGTTTCTTCTGTTACATGTACGTTGTAATGGACAAGTATAGTAACATGGCGTCGTTCAAATAAATTTAAAAATCCGTCCACTCGTGTCGACACCATCTAGCACGGTAGTAGGGATTTCATTGCTG